TTTATCGGCGGCCAAGCAGTTCCAGCCAGTGCTCCAGCGTGGTAGGAGGGCAGGACGCGGGGGTGTCTTTCAGGTTGTTATAATCACTCAGGGAAAGGGGGCTCCCAAGTCACGATGGACGATGATCCCAGAGTGCGGAGGTCGGAGGTCGGGACTGGTAGCCGATGGGGGCATCAGAGATGACCAAGGGCGAGGGAGGAGGAGTCCACCTGGAGATCCCAGAGTGCGGAGTCCGGGGCTGGTGGCCAACGGGAGCATCAGAGATGACCGAGGGCGAGGGAGGAGGAGGAGTCCACCCGGAGATTCCAGAGTGCAGAGGTCGGGGCTGGTGGTCGACGGGGGCATCAAAGATGGCGGAGCGGAGGCCTCTGGGCAAGGAGGACTCGGTGTGCAGACCGGCAGGGCCTCAGGCTGCAAAGGGGGTCTCAGATACAGCGAGACGGGATCGGCCCAAGCGGAGGACAGAGCCGATGAGCTAGACTCAGGCTCCTCTCCTTATGTCTGATTTTGACAGGCTCATGGTGACTTGACAAAACAACAAAATATTTTTGTAACATCTTACATGTAAGCCTATGGGATTTTGGCCAAAACAAAGTGGGATTTGTTTACGTATTGTTGCCAGTCATGGGGAGTGAAGCATAGACCACGCTCACGTCCCTCACGTTATCGGTCAGCGATAAGCACTAGGGTGTTGGCCGAACACTGAACTTCCGGGAACGACTACCGAAGGCTGAGTGGACTGCAACATGGAGTCAGGTGTGCTCTCCGCAAGCAGCGCTGCGACCATACATTTTCCTACTGCAGACTACTAACAGCCATTAAACAATACGCCAAGTGTAACAATTCTTCACGGCAAGTAAAACGACATATTAGGTGTGACACCTGTCCTTCCAGAAACCAGGTGATGACCCAAGGCACCGGGGAGCCCAAACGGAGGCCTCACTTACGTCTCAGGCCATCGGGAAAGCCATGGCATACTTTTCTGTTGTTTTATGCAAAAATGCGTCGTGCCTGTTTTGATGAGCCGCTAATTCTGTAATGGCAATTAGAAATTAGTGCAGAAAACAGAGCGTGTATGCATAGGTGAGGCCCACACCATGGACAGGACACTGCTCGCAGGCCTAGCCCAGGCAGGCTAGGGTGGGGCTGGGCCACTCCGGGCAGCCTCAGGGCTGGGGCACGACCCTCCTGGCCATGTGAGGTCGCCGCATGGCAGCACGGCGCAGCCTCCCGAGGTGGCGATGACGTGGAAGACCTGACCCTTGCTCTGCTAAACCCTCCCAGTGGGAGGCCTACTCCCTTAAAGATGCAGAGTCCAGGCAGATCCAGGGGGCGCACTGTGAGAGGCTGCACAGCCAGGAGAAGCTCTCAGCTGGGAGACCGATTTCAGACCAGAGAGCTGGAGCAGCTTCGTGGGGACCGACACCCCCCGGTGCATGCCCAGGTAGCACTCAGCCTGCAGACTCTGCCCTGAGCCCCGACCCTGCCATTCCTTCCATCACGCTGTCGCAGTGGCTTCTCCTCTCCTTTGACAAGTAGAGTTCTTCCGACGGCCCTTGAGGGCGAGAGAAGACAGACGGTGGTCCAGGAGAGCTGTGGACAGCTGAAAGGGAGTCACACGGCGGCCAGAGGGGACATTCCAGCCTGGACCCAGAGGTGCAGGCTGGATCTTCAGCGTGGTGGAGAGGACAGTGCCCACATGGGGTGCCAAGCATCACCTCGGCCCGCGAGGGAGGCCGAGTCTGCAGAGCTACAGCGGCAACGCCAGGAGGGGAGACCCGGCAGGGCAGGAGGTCTCGCAGAGGTGGGCCCCAGCAGGCCTGCTGCCCTCACAAGGTGCCTCAAGTGGCAGCTTAAGTGACAAGCATGTCCCAGTGCTCTGGGGCCTGGGCCAGGCTGGGCGTCCACTTCTGGCAGCTCCTGCACCACGTCCGAGAGGGACGGCACACCCTCACCTGTGGGAGGTGCAGAGGACAGCGGCCGCCAGCCCCTCTGAAGACCTCTGGCCGGGCCCTCGCGGCTCCGTCACTGCCCCAGTTCCCCCACGCAGCACTGGTGGGAATCCAGGCGGGAACGTTCGGTCCGTGCACTGGGGCACATTTGTCTGAAGAGGAGAGCCCGAGAAGGAGAGAGGAAGAAAGGCATGGGAGGGGCGGGTGGCAGAGCAGGGGAGAAGCTGGAGTCAGAGGTGAGCACTAGGCAGGCCCCCTCTGCCTGCCGGGCACAGATGCCGCCTCAGCCTCAGCGCCTGAGTGTCCCTGCTGGGAGGACGACCAGCAGTCCGCCTTCCTCACTGGGTCCCGTCTGTCTGGCTGAGTACTCACAGCTGTGCGTTTGGGGAGCCGAGGGCAAGTCAGGCAGGTGTGCCTCTCAGGTGTGTGGAGGTCTGGGAGGGAAGCAGCGGCCCCGGGAACAGGTGGAGCACAGGAACCAGGGGTGGCAGGCGGAAGAGCCGCAGGAGCCCTGCCCAGTCAGCATGGACTGCAACCTCAAGGGGCTCAGTTGCCTCCCGGAGAGCCGGGCCCTGGGGTGGAGCCCCAAGCACGGACATGGAGGGCCCCACTACCGGGACGGAGACACGGGCCAGGCCGGCAGGGCCGGGGCTTCCCCAGCTTTGCACAAAGCGTCCTGGGCCCCCTCTAGGCCGTCCCTCCACCTCCGATAATGCAGGCAGTCTCCCAAATGAGGGCCCAAGGACTAACTCGAAACCACCGTGCTAGAAATGAGCCACGTGCTCCGTGGGGCCTCGTCCAGCCCAGGTGTTTAGAGGCACCTCCCGGACTCTCTGAGCCTTCCTGCCTGTGTGAGAGCTGCCTGTTCCCGCTCCTCTCCTCTCAGTCTGCTCCAGAACATGCCTTCTTAGGGCTCTTGCCCGACCTGCTATTTCCAAGACAACTGTAACAGCCGGGGTGGTCACGCATGAACACTGGCCGGGTCACTGTCCAGCCGGTCACCACACTGAGCACAGCATCAGCGAGGGCAGCTGGCTGCGTGACATACAGGCCAGAGGTTCAAGTCCTGCTCACTGCTCCTCCTGCGCAGTCCCACAGCAGAGGGGGAATGGGAGGGGCCCCCGTGCACAGGGAAGACGCGTCCCCTAGTGTCACCATCCAGTGCCCAGGGGCCCACACAAGGAGGCCTACGCCATCGCTTTGGGACACCAAGCAGCCTTGTGCCTGTACCCCACCCCGCAGCACCCTGGGAGCGGCACGTCCCTGTCCAGAGATGGCCACCTCTCCCACAGCGACTGCGTCCAGGAGGGCCAGACCTTCGCAGGGACCCTGCGGCCACCGCGGGCTCTCACAGGTGGCCGGGAGACAGTCACCAGCTGAGGTGCACAGCTGCCTCCGAGGCCGTGCTGGCAAGCACGCGGGGCCGGCCACCAGCCAGGTGCCCCTTTGCCCCTGCCCAGCGCTCACGCCACATTCCAGGCTCTGATATTCAGCTCGTGCCTCCTCCCACCCTCCTCTGCCCCTTCAGGCCAAGGCCCGTCTTCAGTGCCCGCTTGGGCTTCCTCGAGGTGCGGGCCAGCACACCAGCACTCGTGTCCCCTGAGGTAGCGAGCCACGTGAGTTTCTGCCTGACCACAGCAGCTTCTCCAGCGGGACCACACAGCCGTCTGCCACTGAGGTGGACACAGACAGCCATAGGCCGGGCGGGGGCGTCTCCAGGTGTGGCCCACCCGGAGACTCAGCTCCAGCACTGCTGTACAGGGGCGCAGGCAGCTCTCTCTGCCGTGCCTCAGCCTCGGTCTCCCCCTGGAAAGCAGGACCCTTCTCCAGGCCAAGTATCTCCTACTGGAAATGTGGAGACCAGAGTGTGCGGGCCTCGGTGCTTCGGCCTGGGCTCGTCCGTGTCGCAAGGAGGCTCCTGGGGACAGGCCCCGTCTCTGCAGGAACCTTGCTTCCGTTCCGTGCACGCGTCTCACCTGGCCGGAGGAGCCTCACCCAGGACGCCAGGAGGGCGGTCTTCCTGCCTCGTCACCGGACGCTGTGGGGTTTACCACTTGGGACATTTCGAATTTGGGGTGTAGGAGTGTGCAACTGTGCTGTCGGCCAGTAGGGCATCTGTGGTGAAGGGCAGCGTGTCCTGCCCCACGGCCGTGCCTGGGGCACCCCAGCCACATGGTTCTACCCCTAACCCTGCACCTGCTGTGGCCCTCAAGGGCAGCAGGAGGCGTCGCTGTGTCAGAGGGAAGGCTATCAGACTTGTCCAGGGCGCCCCCTCCCCAAGCAGGTCCCCACTGTTGCAGAGGGAAGGGTAGGGCTCCAGGCCCCCAGGGTTGGAGGGCAAGCTCTGTGGGTGCTGCAGAGCTCCGGCCTCAAGAGGGCACCGTGTGACGCATCCGAGGGGATGCTCCCAGAGGCCTGCGGCTGTGGGTTGGCCGGGCTTCCAGCAGGGAGGGCCAGCAGGCCGCCACCACCTGGGTTCACGCAGCAGGTGGCGCTGTAGCTCCCACCCCGCCCTGCACAGGCCGGGCCCCCAGGACAGCCCTCTCGACCAGGAGGAGCTGGCGGTGCAGCGGCTCTGAGGTCCCACTGCCGTCGGGCGCTCCAGGCGGCACTTAGTGCTGGCAGCTACTTTTTTTTTCTTGCTTTTTGTAAAACACTTTTTTTCAGTGTATTTATTTTTCCACGAATAAGAGACAGACACAGAGCACCCCAGCAGGGTCTCGACGCCATGGAGAACCCCAGCCCTGGCCAGCCCCAGACCACACACCTCAGGGCAGGTCACAAGGCGGTCCCCAGACGAGAGCCCAGAGCCCTCGGGGTGGGTCGGCCTTCTTCCCCGTGAGCATCCCCAGCTGAGTGCTCAGGACTCTCCCTCCAGAGAGCATACCCGGCTGTCCCCGAAGGCGATGGCCACTTGGGGCTGACCCGCCTTACTCTCTAGGGCCTCCTGTGCCAGACGCCGCATCGGCCGTGCAGGACTGCTGGCCCAGGGAGGGACCTGCCTCTGCACACCCCCACCCTGCGCTCTGTGGCCAGTGGGGATCGGGGCCCCAGGGCTCTGTCCATGGCTGCCTGTCCTATCTTGGAGGCATCGCTTCATGTCACAGATATCCACGTCACCCTGAGAATTCTCCCTCCCCTCCAAGGGGCCAAGTCCGCCATGGCTCTGTGGAGGTGGGGAGCCCGAGGTATGGGGGGGTTTCCCAGGTCAGGCACAGACAGAGACCCTAGAGGGTGTGGCCACACATGTTGCCAAGACCCCACGGAGGCCCAGCCCTGCAACACCAGCAAGGTGCGGCAGATGGAGGGGAGACGCCAGACCACGGGCTCCAGGCTGCCACAGCCCTCCCCGGCAGTCACTGCAGAACCCCCATGGAGCCACCAGGGCCTGGCCTCCAACTGCCCTGCACCGAGGCCACTGACACAGAGGCTCTCGCTGTGGACACTCCCGCCCTGGACACTCCCATCCTGGACAATCCTGACAGCTCTGGACACCCCTCCACGGCTCTGGACCACTCCTCATGGCTCTGGACACCCCTCCTCGGCTCTGGACCGCTCCTCCTGCTCTGGACACCCCTCCATGGCTCTGGACCGCTCCTCCTGCTCTGGACACCCCTCCATGGCTCTGGACTGCTCCTCCTGCTCTGGACACCCCTCCACGGCTCTGGACCGCTCCTCCTGCTCTGGACACCCCTCCACAGCTCTGGAGCTCTCTCCTGGGCAAGGAGTATTTTGGGGATGAACATCCAAAGTCTGATTCTGGTTTGAGAGGAGACCAGATAGCACCCCTTTGCCTGAGTTAGGGAAGGGTCTGAGAAAAATGGGAGTGGACGTTCCTCGGGCTCAGAGGACACTGCCTCCTGCAGCTGGGGCGTCCAGCAGGGCCCACAGCCTTGCCTCTGGTACCTACGGAGGCCGAGCCCTCATGGCCTCTGGCTACCTGCAGGTCAGAGCAGGGAGGAGGTGCAGAAAGGCCTCCCAGGACTCGGAACCCAGACGGCCCTCGTCTGGGGTGTCCCTGGTGGGGCGCCAGCCTCCCAGGCTGGCAGTGAACAGCTCCCACCCCACCACACACACCGCGCGTTCGGCTCCTCACTGCACTCCCCACACTCCCCACGTGTTCTCGGCGGCAGGCCCTGGGGGAGTCTGACTCATGTTGCTATTTTCAGCTGCGATCTGGCCTGGTGGGTGCGGGGCCTCCCGTGTCCCTGCGAAGCCTCCACAGCTTGTCTGGAACCTTCCTCCGGCTGTTCTGGAGCTGGCGCCAGGGGCCGACATCTGGGGCCCAGGGCTGGCGCCCGGCTGCCGGTTAACTGTTCGCTGCCTGGAGTGTGCGGCGGTGAGAGGCTGCGGCCGGCTCAGCGTGGGGAGAGCCACCGTGGCGCGTGGGCGCTAGAGCACCCGCACAGAACCTGCCGTGCTGTGGCACCGGCTCCGGGTCGCCGCTGGAGTGCGGGCTGGCGAGTCGCCACCAGAGGGCAGTGCGTCCGCGCCGAGGGAGCAGGCCTGCCCAGGATTCCCTTCCAGATCTACCCCATGCGCTCCCAGGATCGGAATGAGGGTGCCCCCCCTCCCCGCACGTGAGAGCAACCCCTGCTCTGGTCCCGCTTTGTTTCCTAATTTAGCCTCCCGACTCCAGCCTGAGTTGGAGTCTGGGACTCCTGCAGTGTGCGAGGCCATGACTCCTCCCTCCCAGCTGCAGTTGCAGTAAGACTTCGGGGAGCAGCCGGCTGCCCTAGCCCGGGACAGGGGGACTGGAGCTCGCTGGTCTTGGTCTGGGTGTGGTCTCTCAGTCCAACCACCAGGGAGCCCCTCTGAAGCCCTGGAGCCCGCAGACTGAGCTGACGTGCACGCCCCTCTGATGTCCATAGCACACTTTGGTCCCTCACACTGACCAGATTGCACACTTCCCGTGCATGCAGAATAGGGCAGAGATGCACGTGTGACCACTGATTTCACGATCACACCATGAGGAGACGAGGACTTGGGGGCCCTGGGGCTCCCTTGGGTCAGGGTGGGGCTGGCTCCACTCCCTCTCTCCGTCTGTGGCGACCTCGGCAGCCACTGGCAGAGATCGAGAGCGAGACGAGGTCCCAGTGGAAGGGCTCCCTCTTGTTCTACAGGCCAGGCACAGAGGTGGGCACACTCTGGGTGTCCCAGTGGGAGGCCCGTGCCCACCCCAAACCGCATTCTGCTCCCACGGCACCTCGCAGCGTCCAGGCACCAGGCCCTGAAACCACACAGGAAGAGCATGCTCACCACCGGAGGGCAGTGCGTCCGCGCAGAGGGAGCAGGCCTGCACACCTTGCTGCCGCCTGCCCAGCGTCTCAGCAGCTGCCAGCAGCGCTGGCACCTGCCCACGAGTCTGCTAGACGCGGGATCCTGTGCCCTTCACCGTCCCCTCCAGGGGGCGGTGCCAGGTCGGCTTTGCAGCGAGGGCGTAGGAAAGGACGTGGAAGAGGGTCCTCCACGTGGTGCTTAGAGAGTGCTTCCCAGGGACCAGCAGAGGCAAAATGGTTATGTCACTGGACTCCCACATAGCTGACCAGTTCAAGTCCTGGACCCAGCGACTTAAAACTCATGGCCAGCGCGTGTGTGCTCGTGAGAAACCACCTGGGGAGTGACTCTCGCTTTCCGTCTGTCTGTTGCTTTCCATCTGTCTCTCCAGTGAGTGCACAGGCCCTATAGCAGAAATCTCTCATAACAAAACAGAAAGTGCTTCTACCTCTCCGAGGGGTCTCTCCAGGGCCCGGAGCCTGTGCACACGGCCCCTGCTGTGCCCCACAGCTGCCTGTGCAGACAACCCCACGCCAAAAGCTGCCCGTTCCATGGAGTACCATCCCACAGGCCGAGCAGTGCTGCCAAGCGTGGTACGGGCCCCGCAGCCCTGGGGTCACCCGTGGTCACCCGGGGTCACCAGCTCGGCCTGTGAGGCCAGGGCGTTCGTCGCTCTCAGTGTACTGTCTCATCTGACGTGGTGAGCAGGCTCTTCTGAGGGGCCCGGGAAGCCTCAGCACAGCACCCCCATATTTGCCCAGGGACCCAGTGGCTGTGGCGGGGCGATTGCTGTGTTGTTACGGAGGCTGGCTGGGGCCCACCCTCCCGAAGGGGGCCTGCCGCTGGATTTGTCCCCACCAGGGAACGAGG